GCCACTGTTCAATGGGGTCGCCCTTAAAGTCCACTTTAGGCACGGGTTGGGGCTCACAATAGGCCGCCCACTGGTAGTCATAGACAACGGCGAAGTACTTGCGGGGCCGGCATATCACCAGAAACACCTGTAGGACGTGATCGTCGATGTTATTCAAGGGCGACAACTTGTATATCAAGCGCTCGTTGTATGTAATTTCGGTCGAGTAGTTCACAATTGGCTGTTTGGCCGTCGACTTTGACCGCAAGTGCCGCAGCGGACCGATAGCGGCCGTCGCGTCCGCTTCGGACACCGGGTTTGGCAGATATCGCATCACATTCGCAGGTATTATAGACCCGCCGACGCTCTTCTGTCGCAGACTGAGCCTCACGTATATCGAGTACTTGTAGTTGCGGTCAACGATGGCCAGCGGTAGGCGAACCAACTTCAACACCTCCACGTGCAGCGCCTGTTTGTCGGGCCATTTGATGCGCAACTTTACCCAACAGTCCTGATCGTCAGTCGGCGGCAGTGTTTTGTTCACGTCTTCGGCGACCACAGTCTTGGCGGCGCCGCCTCCGGTCAACTGTCGCAGCTTTTTGGCCATCACTTCGAGACTGTGGAGTGGATTGCGTAGGGATTGCAACGGTTCCCGATATAGTTTGGTAACAGAGTTGCGATTCTCGGTGGTCTCCTCGATGTTGGCCTGAATATTGGACGGCACCCGCAGATTGTCGATCACTTTGCGCCTGTATTTGCACACTCGGAGGCACAGAAACATACGGACAACACCCGAGTTCTTCACTTCGGTGGCGCCCTTCAGTTTGAGTATCCGTCGGATCGGGAACTCTTTGTTTAGTGTCATATCACGTGTGGACTGAATCATGTCTTTGACGGCGACATTGCATTCGCCAAAGACCTTAACAAAAGTCTGTGTCTTCATGTCCTGACACACGACCGACACTTCCAACACATCGGTGTCAAAGTTATTGCACAAGAAGTCCGACGACTCTTCAAAATAGTAGAACCCTTTGCGCGGCTGCTGTGAAGACTTGGTCTGAAACTTCTGGCCCGAGAACTGCATCTTCACCACCGGTTTGAAGTCAAACTCTTCATCGGTGGTCGAGATTTGGCTGACGTAATAGATATACACCGACAGCACTCCCAACGGGAACTGAACGGACGAGTCTTTGACGGCGGCCGCGATCTTCGGTACATTGCGTTTGTTGGACGACAGCTCGAAGACAGCGCACCGGAAGTGTAGGGAACCGGTGGGACAGCGACCGATCGGCAACCACTTGTCCCTACCGTTCAGATTCTTATTACGGCCGACGTCTTGGAGCCGGAACTCTATGGAGCCCATGAAGTCGTCTTTACTGATGGCGTCTTTGTCGAAGAGTTCAATCGTCAACTGGTCGTTGAAGTCGTGGACGGGAGCGGCGAACGACTCGCCGAAGTACGGGCTGAGCGCTGAGTAGGCGGTTGTGGTCTCGAACTCGAAGATACCGATCCGTACTTTGCAAAAGGTATCGCTGGAACCGCTGAATACTAGACACCGAGTCGGGTCCATCGCTGGCAGGTCTTCGGCCTCAATAATCTCCACAAAGCACAGGCCTATCGGCAACGGATACTTGAGCTCACGTTTCACATTAGGATTGTTTGGTATCAATGGTATGAAGATCTTGTTGGGCGACACCAGGAATTGGCTGATGATATTCAATAGAAACTTCTTAAACAGTTTATTGTCGGCAATATTGGCCAGATTTACGCCGTTATAGTCCAGAAGTGGCACATCTTGTAGGCATACGGACAGACCGCCTATGAATGGCGGCACTTCCAGCAGTGGCCTCAACACCAGTACAGCCGTACCCCGAAAATAGACGTCTTTGACGCCCGCCTTATATAGTCCAGAAGTGGCACATCTTGTAGGCATACGGACAGACCGCCTATGAATGGCGGCACTTCCAGCAGTGGCCTCAACACCAGTACAGCCGTACCCCGAAAATAGACGTCTTTGACGCCCGCCTTCGCCTTCAATCCCAACGCTGTCTTATAGCTGAAGAGTACCAAACAGTTGCCAAAGTAAATGAGTTTCAAAAGGATCACAATCTCGTCCTTTCGGTGACCACTTTTGCGGACTCGAATCCCTGTAACGGCCGGCGGTTTATCACCCAAAGTGAAGCGCTCGAAGAATATGGTGTGTCCGCCAACTGTGAGACCCTTGTCTTGAAAGCCCTGGGCGTCGATCGTTGTTTGCGCTATACTATTGATATTTGGCCAGAATTTGGCGAATATATCGTTAAGCCATTCGCACTGGTGTTCATACGACTGGCCTCTGGTCGCCGTCTTTGGCGACGTAATGGTCTCGAGGAATACTTTGAGTCGTTCGGGATCTTTGGCCAACTGTTGGGAACAGTAGTCGACGGCATCGGTCTTATCGCCTTTGCTTTGTTGCCAATATGTGATAACGAGTGCCCCAAACGACAGGAGCGCCAGTATTGGCGAATCGTAGGCCACGAACAGCGCCGACACGAACGACCCGGTGAACAGTCGCCACAGATCTGACTCCAAGAACTTTTGGGCGAAGTGTGCCTTAAATGAGATACTAAACGAACTCTTTATGAATTTGATCATCTCCTCCACTTCCAGCTCCCGTACGTCCGCCACCGCGTCATAGTATTTGTCAACTCTCCGGCGCCGGTGTTTCGACTTCCGGAGCCGTTTCTTCTGTCCCACTGTTTGCGACTTTTGTCGCTTAGATTCTTGAGATTTGTCTTTACTTTTACTCATTTTTCTGTCAATTATATCTGATTTGGGATTCAATTTTGAAATAACGGTTAAAACTTTTGATTTGTTTCAATAACTATTGTATTCATGCTTTAATCGTGATATTAATCTACACTTAATTGTTGTCAAAACACTGTTTAATTAATTTGATCGTAAAGTTAAACATTTGTTAAACAATAACTCATTTTAATTATATTTTTCATTTGATAAGTGAATTGTGTTTTATATAAATTTAAGAAATGCTATTAAGAGCTAAATAGTTATAATTCATTTAAACGATTAATAATTAAACGAAAATAAAATTTGAAAATATATAAAATAAACATTTCGATGAAAACAGTAATAAATTGGGAAAAAACAATTATGATTGGAGTGAGAGTTGAGATAAATCGTAAAGTTAATGGAAATCAGTTTGCGGTGAAGTGGGTATCGGTTGCGAAAACATATTTCGCTTCCTGTCCTCAAAGGCCACAAAAGCGTTCCTCTTCTCGCCGTCGGTCAGCACCTGGTCTTTGCGGTCCTCAAGAAGTGAATCATATTCACGAGGAATAGCTGTTATCGCAAAACCAAAGTCACAACAGATCCGCTCGAGAAGAGGGTCGTTCAGATGCGACACTTGGTTTTCAGTATACGTCTTGACGGGCGGCTCAGCGATAGAACGTAAGTTTTGGAGCAGTGCTTGGATCTCATTCCAGGCGAAGACACCCTCAATCACGTGTCCGTCGACCACTCGCTTAGCCATCCCTTGTTTGCAGACCTGTTTGTTACTTATTTTCCTCTCCAATGAATTATCGCATACCAAACGGTATATAAAACACGGCTTTTGCTGTAAAGGAGCGCAAAATTATAGCAAAAATTGATTTGAGAAATGAGTTAACGAGTGCTTCACATACCTGTCCGTAGCGGTAGATACGACACGCGGCCTGACTGTCGTGACAAGGATTCCAGTTGGCGTCCATCACGACTATACGATTAGCACCGGTCAGATTGATGCCCAGACCACCCGCTCGGGTAGAGATCAGAAACAATTTAACTTTTTCTGATTCGTTAAACTGTTTGATGTAAAGATCGCGCCGTTTAGCGGGTGTCGAGCCGTCCAAACGGTAGTAATTCTCATCTTTACGCCAACGCCGGGCCGTCAGCGGCACGTCTCGCGACTCCAAGAATATCTCAATTAAATCTAATGTCAACAACGATTGGCTGAACACCAGAAGTCGATCGCCGACTTCTATACTCTCTCTTATTATCTCAAACAAAAGCATTGTTTTGTAAGAGTTTTCAATCAATTCTCGCCGATAGCCCTCCACTATAGGCGCGGCGAATGAATAGTCGGTCATTCGGTTCGCTATTTTGTTCATTTCTATCCCATTCCTGGCCTCGTTATCATCGCTCAGCGCCTCTTCCAAGTCCTGGCCCTGACTGGCGATACCTTCGCGGACTACTTTGTAGAAGATGTCGGGATGGTTCCAGATCTTCGTGCAGTTGGCAAACAGTGTCAGAATAGATATCCTTTTGCCGTCCATTCGGCCGATAATATCGGGATTATCGATAGCGGTGCCGATAAACGCCTCCATCAGCTCCTTCTGGATGTGTGTAAAGCGGCAAAGGATTATAAACTCCCGCTTCGGAGGAAGTGTTTCCTTCACCACATCATGGCTTCGGCTATGAATGACAAATAATGGCATAAAAACAAATACAAAGGCTATATATTAGTTGTCATACCGTTGAACAAAATACTTCATCGTGTCGTGCAATACAAAGGCTCTCTCTTTCATGACTTGGATGTCATCGGGAGTCGAGTCCACGCACTGACCGTTTTTGATGGGTTTGTCGAACATTGTCTTAAACTCGTTTTGGTGTCCAAGAAAGTTGGGCCGCACAAAGTCGACCATGCACCAGTACTCTAGCAAATTGTTTTGCAGTGGCGTACCCGTCAGTATGACTCGGCGTCGGGTCCGGATCTGCTTAAGAGCTTTGGAAATCTTTGAGGCCGCGTTCTTAATCTTGTGGCCCTCATCGCACACCACCACAT